TTTTTTTTTTTTTTTTTTTTGCAGACATAAAAAGTGAGAACCATAAATGACCCAGTCTCCTGCGAAGTGCTGGTTAGACTGATTGACATCTGCAGATGCATGGAGTCTGTGGTTCTAAGGCCAGATGTTTAGTACCACTTAGAGACCCTGGGTGGCCAGGGCCATTTCCTTTAGTTAATAACAGTTCTATCCTATTTCTGTCCTCCCACTCTGAATTTAATGTTGATTCTGGGTTTTGACCACTAAGCAAACTCAACCCCAAATACATGCAAACACAGAGGTAGATTCTGGTGCTTTCTAAATTTGTAATGAATTTTGATAGCAAATTATTCATTTTATTGGAAAAAGCAAAGCTGGTGGCGAGACTGGCATTTCATGATTTAGTGCTGTGTACATAATCTCTGGTGGAATTGTACTGCAAATCAGAGCGCTCTCTCCTTACCTACATGTTCTAATTGAGGACCAGGCACCAGGGAAATTATTCAGTGACTAGGCCAGAGCTGGGACCCAGTTTGCCACACTCAGTTCATTTCCCTAACCCCAGACAGCCATGGCACTATTCCATCAGGTTTAAACTGCTGCTTCTCTCTTCCTGTAGTTTTCTCATTAGTAAAGGGGAATCAAGTGAAGTGAAAAAAGTGAAAACCAATGATTCTGCTTACATGTATATCTATTTTCACAATATTATCATAGAGGAAGGAGAGCTAAATTTTTGTTTCCTGGCTACGTCAACTGGGATATTTGAGGTACACAGGACACTGACGGAAACACAGCTGAAGGATGTCAAGAGAGCATAATTTAAAAAGAGCAGTAATACTCAGACCTGAAACTGTATGACATGCTTTTCAAAATTTAGAAACATTGGGTGATTTCCTGAATTTCCCCCTTCATGTAAATGTTCAGTGCTCTGTAGATACAATCATTGTCTTTTTCACCCCTCAATTTAAACAAAGCTTTTGAGAAAAGATAGAAGATTCTAGTCAGTTCTTTGAAAGCTCATTTGTCAAGTAGATTACATTTTTGCCTTCTCTTAAAAATGTGCCTTCCAGTGTATGAAAGCAGTTTTTGTAAATTAATATCATCATTAAAAATAAGTTGGTCTACTTGTATACCTCCTTTAACTTGTTATTCGGGGCTGCCGTGCTGGGCTGCACAGACAGCAAACAGTTTTGGCATGGCCCTCGGGCCCAGGGGAATATTAACTTACAAAGCGTTCCCTATTTTGCTTTTACATGTCTGAAACTATTTCAAAACTTAGCGGCTGAAATGCAAGTTATTAAATACACTTGAGTAGAATGTAAGAAGTCCCCCGCCTGCCCCATTCAGAGAAAAGATGGTTGGGAAATAAATTAGTGTACTCATAAGATGCCTCTTGGCTGCTTCTGAGTATTTACATCGACACATAACTCAAGATTATAAAAAAATAGTTAAACCAGAGTTAGATACTAGGCATGAATTAAGTGTTACCCTAGGATTGAAAAGGTCTATTTTGTTTTATTAAACTTTAAGTGTTCTTTGACCTATATGAGAAATGCAAAGTATAAATGATTTATGGAGCAAAATAAAAGATAGATAACAGGAAACAGGGAGTTAGATCTTTTGCAAATGGCAAGGGGACACAGAGATGGAAGGTGAGAGAGGGGAGGGTAAAGGAAGTAAAAAGAATTAAGATGTGTTATATACATGTACTAATCCAAGATAAATGTGATCATTTTGTACTGAAAATATAGTAAAAGTTTAAAACCTAAAAAAGTTCTAGATGAGTGGAGATATAGGCGTGTGACAAAATAGGAAGGAGGGATTCTTTGGTTTTGGGTTGTCAGAACCTCCAGCACCAACTTTGCAAAGGTGTCCTGTCCCCTTTTCTTCAGCCAGCTCTGTCTTCAGGAATCAGGAGCCAGAATGAAGAGTGGGGGTTGATCTCCTGGAGGATGTGAACAGTGTAGACAGTCTGTTCTTCATTGTGTGTGTTCCTCTGTGGGTGCAGGGCCAGACACTGCTTGAGTGCAGTCACAGGAGGCTGGGAAGTGTCTGTGGGTCTCCAGCAGCTGGAAAATGTTTGAGCCCCTTTGGCAGATGTTTGCTGTTCCAGCCACTTCATTAATGTTGGAAACAAAACCCCTGACTATTCTGACCCAAGTTTCACTTTGTGATTGACAGCTGGGGTGTGCTTCCTCTCACAGAAGTGCTTTATAGTCTGAGAGCCACAGAGAGGGAGTGAAAAGAGGGAGATCAGAGCAAAAAGGGAACTAGGCTAGATGCCATTGCTGAAAAGCCAAAATTATCAAGGAAAGTGGAGAGACTCATTTAAACAGAAAGACAAATTTAGTACAACTAATTAAGCTTTGATGTCCCATCAAACACATTATATAATTTAGTTTCCCCAGCTTTCATGCATTTATTCATGACATACTTACTGAGAACTGACCATGTGCCAGGTGCTATATGGGTATTGTGACACAAGATGAATAATGCTGCACTGGAGTTCAATGTCCAGTGGGTGAAATAAACGTGCAAAAAACAATACAATAAGGGAAATGCTAGGGTAGAGATAGAAATAGCAAAGGACAGCATTGGGGGAGTGGGGGCACTTTCATGGGGAAGGTGACATTTGAGATGGATCTCAAACTAGTTTTTCTGTGTGAGAGGGAGGAATGGCTGTGAAGGGCATTCCAGTGAAAAGGACCAAGCTTGCATAAAGGCATGGCTTATGAAAGGCCAACCTTGAGAAGTAGAAATGGTGACTACCATTTACAAAGGAAAACCCTGAGTCTGAGCAGGGGTTAGAAGCCATTCCTGACTGGTAGATCTTCAATCTCTCACCAACTGCAGCTCCCTCCACCCACCAATTTCTTGCCTCTGTAGTGGAAAATAGATAAGATGAGAAATCCAAGGAGCTAATAGGAACCAAATCTGTGAATTGAAGCAGGGAGGAGAGAGAGGGCTGGAGGATGCCGAGGCCCCCGGGGGAGCTGAGGCATTGAAGGCCCAGGAGGACCCAGCCTGTCGATTCCAGCCAGGCTGGGCCCTGCAGAGCTGAGATGCAGGCTTCGAACTCAGGGGAGAGGGGAGGACAAGAAGATGAAGACAGGGAGGGAATAAAAAGGGTGAGCTTTAGAAAGGGAGAAAAGAGAAGGAAGAAATTCGACAGAGAGGGGAGGCTAAAATTGGGGAACTATGAGGGGAAAGAAATGGGAGGAAAAAAGAAAAAGAATTAGTGGAGGTGGGTGAAATGGGAAGAGGCAGAGGGAAGAGTAAAGTTGGAGGGTAGGAGGGCAGGACTAAGACAGGGCTTTGGAAGGGTGAACCAAAGTTCCCCTCCAGAGTACACTCCAAGGCCTGAAAAAGACTTCAGCCACTGCTGAGGCAGCCACTCAGGTGCTGGGCTCCTTCTCCCCAAGCACTAGTAGGTTTTTTGTTTTGTTTTGTTTTTGAGACAGACCTACAGCCCGCCCTTTCCGGCGGACAATAAGAGCTCACCGCCAGAATTGATCTCAGTGTGAACGCTGTGTCCTTGGGATCCGGCCCTAGCACCTTGCGTAGCGGGCTCCTGCTCCCTTCGGTCATGGAGCTCGGGCTGCTGCGCGGGGTCAGAGTGGGAAGAGGCCAAGGGACACGAGTTCAGCCAGTCAACAGGCGGCAAAAAACGAGGGGGCGCATATGTGCTCCAAGTGGCAAGCACGGGCCACGGCGGCCGCTGGGACACCTGGCGGCAGTTCTCCAGGACCCTCGATCTGCTGGGAGAGGAAAAAATAATTGTAAATGGAGAGAAGAGGGGAACCAAGGCACTTTCTGACACTTGGGAAGGTCTCCAACTGCACATTGCGGGCCATGCTATTAATACCTACTCCCTATAAGCGTCTGATTACTATTTCTCCAAGTGCGTCCTTCCTCTGCATTTAATCACCGGCTCTGATGTGCGCGCCTAGACTTGCTTGCTCAGCCCCCCGGGGCCGGTCCAGTAACCTCGCAGAGCCCGCGGAGACTTGCGGCCAACGCCAGATTCAAAGGGGCATGGCAGTCTCATCAGCTGCCCAGAATTCTGTATCCCTGTTTCCTATCATGCGTTTTTTTTACATACCCGCGCATCAATTCGAGACAAAATCTTGGAACGCGGCGCGAACGCGGCGGTTCCTGCCCGGTGCCGTATTCGGCTCAGGCAGCGGGATCCACAGCCGAGCGGAGGCTCGGTTGGGGTTCCGCGATCCAACAGTTATCCATTGAAAACAAAAGTTCTTACAGATATGAATTGGGGCAGACTCAGAAGGTAGAGCCCAGGGAGAAAAAGGGAAACCACCCAAAAATCATGGCTTTTAGGCTACCCAACCTTATGGAGTCTCAAGACTCGGGAATGGAAAGTCGCAGGCCCGGGGAGATCGCGCTTTGGAGGCCCGGTTTGGGCTGATTGTTTGGAATCCCGGTGGCGCTGAGGTACCCTGGGATTGAGCTGTGCCGACCCTTTCCGGCGAGGCAAAATATTTTATAAATAAGGCTTAAACATTAAAAAAAAAAACCAGATGCTTTTAGTACTTTTTTTCTTTTTGTCAGCTTATTATTGGTTAACGGACCAAGCCATGGTCATTTATAGTTTGAGATTGGGTCACTGAGCAGTCAAGTTTACAACCTCTGCACAAAAGCCCCATACCCACAGGGCTCGAGCTCGCTGCGGATTTCGGGGTTGCAAGTGGAGGGACGCGAAGCCGCGGTTCGTAAGAAACGGTCCACGCGGGGAAGGAGACTTAGTAGTCTTGGGGTGGGGGTCGGTTGCGCTGTGGTCCGTGGCCTCGGCGAAGACTCTACTTCTTGCCTGCGGTAGAGTCAGAGGTACCCTCCCGCAGATTTCAGGGGTCAGGACCCCAGCCCGGCCTGTGGGTGCAGGACTGTCCCTAAGGTGCGCGCAAGGGACACTGGTTGGAAAAGCAGCCGGCTGAAGCCGCCTCTGCTAGAGCTGTTGGCGCGCGCTGCCCGCACTGCGCGCACACTCTCAGGCGCGCACCCCTGAGCACACACCTGGAGTTCGTCCCGGGGGTGAGGGGGAGTGGTGGTGGAGGAGGAGAGCCAAAGCAAGTGTCTTAAAATAGAGGGCCAGGCAGAGGAGTGCTAGACACGAAGAAGGGGGAGGAGGCGGGAGCTGAGGGACACTAGGCGGACAGGTCAGGGCCCTGGTCCCACAGGCGGGCAGGGGCGGGGGTGGGCGCCGACGCCCCTCGCCTGGCACTCCGC